GGTGGCCCCGGCTCTCTCTGGAGCCCCTCGTGGTGGTCCAGAATCCCCTTATGGAGAGCCTGGAGACCTCCGGCTCCTCTCCTGGTGGCCCAGGATCCCCTCATGGTGATTCTGGGTCTCCTTATGGTGGTCCTGGAGCTCTTTATCATGGCATGGTGGGAGTTAGAGCCTGCAGTTGGTACCATGGTCCTGAATCATTGTCTGCTGCGTGACCAACCTGTGCACCAGGGAGCTGCCAGACTCAGCTGGCAAACAGGAAGGCTCTGATACGTTTACTGATTTTTGTAGCAGTAGTTTATGGTCTTCATGCTTCTGGGCATCTTTCTTGCCAAGGGTACCAGCCCTAGTGCCAAGCTGTGTGAGCCGTGGTGTGCGCCTCAGACCAGGTGGTGAATTAAGGCAGCCCTTTAAAAGTGGAATGGAGGGTATTTAGCTCATGTTCTGGTCTCTGTTTCACACTGGCTGATCAGCTGGTATGTGTTGGGTTGTGCTGTTGCTCGTGCAGAGAGGATGTAACCTCAAGCGCTGGGGTTGAGGGGGGAAACTCTCTCAGTTGCTGCACTTGGCAAATCTTGTTTGTGAAGACCTTTGCTCTCACGCTACTTCTGTATTGACTTGCACTACCTGCATGCTATTTTTTCAAAATCACTGAGGTAATATTTGATCTGAAGCTAGCACTCATTCGTATTGTTCAACATGAGATGCTTTGCCTGGCTTTGTCTTTTATAAGTCTGGATCAATCTTTGCAGCTTTTTCTTACAGAGGGCTTTTCTTATCCTAGCATCTTCTCCATTAGCTGGGAGAAAAATGACTAAGTAGCTCAAAGGTCCTAAAGACGTCCCTGCTAGCCCAGTAGTCCTTGCAGGAGAGAAGAATTTTCTTCTTTGTTTTCTGCAGCAGTGAACACTGTTGGCAGAGCTGTCTGTGTGCCTACTTCTCTTTCCTTCAGTGCTCTGTCAGGTGAGCAGATGTCTTAGTTGTTATAGGCCTAGACTATAGTAGAAAAAGACATATGTGCTGCCACATACCAATATATTTTCTGTCTATGTCTTCATTTGTAATTTGTAATTTTGTAAATGAAATTTGTAAATTTGACAGGTTTATGCTCTCTCTCTGCAAAAAGGAAATGTAATTTTTAAAAAAAGATACACAAAGCAAATTCAGTCCCTGAAGGCTGAAGTTCTTTGTTTACCAATAGCTTGAGCACACACAGCAGTATAGCAGACTGTCTCTGCTTCTTTTCCTTTGCCCCTGCGTCAATGCCTTTGACTTCCTGGACTTTATATAGGCAGTCTACAGAGATCCCATTACTCTGTGTGCTACAGAACATTTTTCATGGCTGCTAACAGAAGCTGAGATTTGGATCTAATCCGAGATCGTCTTTCCTTCCTTCTTTATACTCGATTTTAACTGTAACGCTGCAACCTTAATTCATAGATGTAATTCTTCCTAGAAAAATAAGGGCATCCAATGCCCAGTGGGCATGATTACTCGATCTCTTCCACTCTCAAATTGCTGCTGCTTTAAGGGTTTTACTTCTTTTGCTTAGTTTGTATTTCTTCCAAATTTGCTTTTTCATATGGAAACCCTAAAATGACAAACCTGCCAAGTGGCACACACAATTACTGAGTGTTTGTGGGAGAGTGTTCTTTCCAGGAAATGACAGCTTGGTAAGCCTCAAAGTGGACCTGCTTCCTCTGTGTTTCAATGACAAGTATGTTGGTGAGCATCAAGGAACAGCATTGGTTGCTCTCCAGACACTTGTGGGTACAGAGTGTTTTGGCCATGGCTGTAACTTGAGGGAACTCAAAATGTTGGATTGTGTAATGGACTAACAGTCTCTGTGAGGGCTTCCTTTGCATTTCATCGTTCGCCTCCTGCGAATTTGGGGGCTCCTTGGCTAGCTGTAATGTGTGGCTTTTGTCAGACTTGGGCTACATAAGGCTTTGGTCAGAACTGATCCTTGGGTTATGCCCACTGTCATTCATGATGTTACATCTGTGCATGACCAGTGTAGCACTAAGACTGTCATCAGAGATTAGCATCATAAAGGACTGTGTTTGCCAATTCTTGTGCCTCTAATTTCCTTCCTTCTCTCACTTCTGACTTGAACATTTACTTGAAAAAGTTTTCAACCTCACTTAATATTAATTTCTTCCCATTTTCTATTCCCATTTTCCAGAATGAGGAGAAGCCACTGATCAGCTGTTGAACCCCTGGTTTTTGATAACCCTTTTCTCTGCCCCTGTGCTGTGTGTGGGAAAACTGAAATGCTCATCAGTTTTACTTTCAGGTTCTTGCTTGAGTGACAACCGAAGAGCAGTTTTAGCAAACGCTCCCCTGGATCCTAGTTTTGCACTGGCATTTCTGTCTTTGTTTGTACAAGTTAGCATAACTCGGGATGTGTTAAGAGCTGATCATTGACTCCACCTCAGAAAGAAACTAGTCTGTCTTCTCTTGCAGAGTATGTTCTAGAAATTGAAGGGTTTTTTTTCCCTAGAACATGGAAAAATATTCTTATTCTGAAAATAAACAAGTTCTATTTCCAGGTTCTTACGTGGTAATCTTCACTGTACTGTGAACGCCTTCCAGAATGCAGTGAGCCACTGTCACACCAGCGTTTTTTTCCCCTATAGGTGCAAAGAAATTGGAGGGGTTTATTGCAATATACTTTTGTGTATCTGCATTAGCGAAGGCAAAACCAAGAAGTGGCCTTGGATAAGAAAGTGATTCCGAAATTTTAGGCCCATTCTCCTGCAGAGTGAGTTGCATGATTTGTGGATGGAATGGAAGACAGCAACATTATGTTTCACAACAGAGCTGTGACCTGTAGCCTCTGCCTTAAAGCTTTCAGCAGCTTAGGCATCCTGGGGTAAAACTCCTGATGTCTCCAAGTGACTCTCCTTAACTATGGGAATGTATTTTCCTGCGGTTGATTTCTGGATCTGTACTGCTGCATACGTTTTATGACATGTTAGAAATGTGCTTGTATTAGGGACTATCAATCCCATATTGCTTTACTTCCTGCTGGTTAGCAAAACTCTGATACTAAAGAACAAAGGGGGAAACTAATCTGAAATTCTAACAGTAGAGACTGAGATATGCGTCTCATATCACTAAACGCCTGCAAAAGGAAAGCTGCTTGTACTGTGTTTTGATTAGTATTGTATGACTCTAATTTTGCATTGCTTCTGAGTCCAAAAATGTGGATGTATTGCTAGAAGAGGGACTCTCTCTGTCGTGACAGCACAGCACTAAGCACTGTGTACAGTTCTCTAACATATGCTGTCTGGAGCTACAGCTCAGAGTCTTCATGGGATGTTCAGAATCAAGTTCTCTCCACTCTGAGATCCTTTTTTAAGATATGATGCTGGGATCCCAAGTTATTTTGCGTCACATACGTTGTGTGAAGTTACCTGAAATATTTTCTTCTTTCCAAGCAATATTAGCATGTGAGTAAACTGTGAGCCAAATAGCAACCAGGTAGTGGAGTGTAGCAGAAGTACAAGGGAAGCGGAAGGTGATCATCTCTCTAGTGTTAGCATTGTCCCCAGGGTTTGTGTTTTGGTCAACATTATAAAGAGAGCATGTACATGGCTGATTATTGAACATTGGTTGTGGTGACAGGACTGGCTTTACCAGCTCCAGGCCAATCTGTGAAGAACAGATGTCTACAGCTTCTACCTGATGCAGTGTAATCCGTTACCAGGAGGTCCGGTGCCCTTGTAATCTCCTGTCAGTAGATGTTTGTAACAATTTATCCTCTTTCTTCTAAGTATGTGTGGTCTACATGGAATCATGGGTTTGGGTTGGAAGGGACATTACAGATCGTCTAGTTCTAACCCCCCTGCCATGGGCAGGGACACCTTCCCCTAGATCAGGTTGCTCAAAGCCTCATCTAGCCTGGCCGCATCTTTGTTTGCTTGTTGGAATCATTTGAAAATCTTGTCTGATCAGTTCTGACCTTTGGTGACATCTGTGTCCTTTATCTGTTGTACCAAACAGCTTAGTCTTGTTTTGGGAACGTTTCGTCTAGCCCAAGTTAGGAACTCATTTTATCTTCTAAATGCAATGCATGGCCTGTCATACAGCAGGTCAGACAAGGTAATTTGCCGTTCCTCTCTGACTCTGGATGCCATAAAGTTTGTTCACTCTGTCAACAGACTTGAAAGGCCTCTTCCCTCAAATTACTATGGATATCACCTCCTGTGTTTCTCTACTGTGAAGTGTATCTCTCTGCATCATAGAAATTGCCCAGTCTCAGCAGAGACGTTTCTTCCCTTCTGCTGCTGTGTCATTGAATGCCTTTATAGGAATATCCTTGACAGCTCTTATTTTGATCATGCTTTCTGGTCACTGAGTCTCTGCTCAATCTGTCTGTAACCAACTTCAGTCTCATTCTTGGCAAGAAAAGTTAAGGGCTTTCATCTGAATTCTGCTTGTGCTGATGTATGTGTACTTCTTCAAAAGTCATGGGGGAAAAAAGGTTGGATTTGCAGCGTGCTGCATGGATACCTCCTTCTGTTGAGGTCCCTTCATGCTCACAAGAGCTTGCAGCTATGTGCAGGATGTGATCAGTGAGTCCCCCTGCTAGCCCATTGTTCATGAATCATCAGATGCTGCGCCAACAGCTTTGTGATGAAACCATTAAACTACAAAGCCGATGCTTTCTGAAACATAATCTCAGTTTTGTACCTATAGAAGTGCAAATTTGGTGGATTCACAGAATTTACTTTTCGTTGAACATTGACTGTTGAGAGGGTAACATTCCTTGAAAAAAACAAAATATTCCAAAGTTACATATCTTAGAGGTGATAAAATGGTCAAGGGACAAAGTCAGGATTGTGTAAGTACCATCAGTGTATGTACTGTCATTTTACTTTCAAATGTTTAAGGTAAACCTACATTTAACCTTTAACTCTGAAATTCTGGCCTATAAGTAGTCATTCTTTTTAGGGAACTTCACCATAAGCTTGCAGAATGGATCAGGAGTTGAACAGTGAGGAAAGATTTTTATTTGGTTTGATTTTAGAGCTGAGTGGTGAGGTGGGGACTCCACGTAAACTGCAGCGTGTCGTACACGTCCAGCCTGTGGAGGAATCCCCCTGGACTGTTTCTTGTAGTAAAGCTTGGAGTTACTGCATGGAGGAGAGAGTTTAGCTGTCTGGTACAAACAATGCATGTAATTTCCACTGTCTTTTATCTCAGCTTACTTGTTTTACAATGCAGTTTAGCTGTCCTCCTGATCTATAATGAACCTTGTCTCTTTTACTCACCCTGTAAGTGAATTCTGTAGGAAAATTCCCTCCTTCCTCTTCTTCTTTCAGTGAACATAAGAAGCGAAAGGACAAATCTCTGTTGAAACCTCTCTGACAGATCACATTTTAAAAAAAACTGTTGAGCATTGTTGGCTTTTTTATCACATTACTGAAAAATAAACCTTTGTCTCCCTTCTAACTTACAGCTCTCAGAGAAAGATAAACCCTATGTAGATATCCAGGGACTGACAGCCTCCACCATGGAAATCCTGCTAGACTTTGTATATACAGAAACTGTTCATGTGACAGTAGAAAACGTCCAAGAATTGCTCCCAGCAGCATGTCTGCTTCAGCTGAAAGGTAATTGCCAAGTATCAGCACAAACAGCACGATTGCTGCTCTTCAGAGATTTGGTTTGTCTGACCTTCTGTAAATGGAAGACAGATTGTGGGAGGCATTTATGAGTACTTATATCAAACTTCTTCTGTTGTCTTCTGCCCTGTGGTCTCGTTGGAAGAAGAACTGGCTTGGGAGGGAAAAAAAAGATGATAAAACAGGTTACTTGTTCCATGCGTTGGACTACTGTATTTCTGCATGAGAATTCCCAGGAGGAACTGTGGGCTGTATAGCACACAAATGTTACAGCTCAGTCAGCTTATAATAATAAGCAAATCCTTGATGTTATTTGAGCTGCCATCATAGTATATCTGAGTCGTAACAAACTGGTTGATGTCATTGCACCAATGGAGCTAGCCCAGGCAATTATGCCAAATCCCAGGCAACTATCAAAAAGTCATTGGAGAAAAACTAAAAATCTGGTAGCCCTATCCACTAGCATATACATTTTTTGTTTATGATCCACAAAGCTGAGTACAAATCACATTTGAGTCTTTTCCTAGTATCATATTTATTTAATTTTTGCATTTAAAAATGAGATCAAAACAGCCCAAACACATGGTCTACTACTTAGTGTTTTCGCATCCCTCCAAATAAATATTTGCATCTGTGTTTCTGTAGTATTTTTAAGCTTGTTATTTGAGTTGGATTTTCATTATTGTTTAGAACTTTCTTTTCTGAAGTCCCTTCCAAAGCAATGGATTGATAGTAAGCATGCAGTGCTCATTCATCTCTCCAATTTTCCACAGGTGTGAAGCAAGCTTGTTGTGAGTTTCTAGAAAGCCAGCTGGATCCGTCAAATTGTTTGGGCATTCGAGATTTTGCTGAGACACACAATTGTGTTGATCTAATGCAAGCTGCAGAGGTCTTCAGCCAGAAACATTTTCCAGAGGTGGTTCAGCATGAAGAGTTTATCCTCTTAAATCAAGAAGAGGTTGAAAAGCTCATCAAGTGTGATGAAATTCAGGTAAAACCTGAAAAGTACCATTACTGTGCAAAGCATTGAAGTAAAATGTTGAAACCAGTCAGAAATTAGTCCATACTTCTAGGGTGGACTTCTCACACAGTTCGTGAATTTGAAATTTAGTTTCCAATAAGCTGCTTCTAATTTTTTTAGCCATATAATCTGAAATTAATCAGTAACATATAGCTTTTATGTAAGAATTTGTTGTCACACAAGCGCTTCCTGCAAGTAAGGCAGTCACAGTTAGTTACCTCTGCAGAGTTCTTGTTCCCTTTTCTCCTCCTTTCCCTGGATGAGCTTTCAGAGATTACAAAGACAAGTTGTCTCCATGCCTACATTTCAGAAATACCCCCAAGACTTTAACTTCTATTTGTAGACCTTTGCATGCTACTCAACAGGACAAGGAATGCATGTGTCATCCCAGACATTTGGGTGTCTTCTACTTTTACAGGCAACAGAATGCATGATGGTATGGGATAGTCTTACTCTTCAGGGAGTTATATGCATATTTTGTTCCCTTAAGGTTGGTTTCTGGAGAGTTTACTATTTGGCTGGAACCTGTCAAATACTTTTTTCCAAATTTTATATGAATGTGTATGTTCTTGAGAATTGAAATAAGTTGAACATTCCTTGGTAATGAACTTGGGTTTTTTATTGAGATGGACTTCGTCAAGAGCTGGTATTTGCTTCAGTTCTAAAAGAAGTGATGGAAACAACCACTATTCAGAGTTCACAGTAACATGATCTCTTAGAAGGAAACAGATGTAAATAATATTTCTGATGGAATTCCTGAAAAGCCAATACCAGGGTAGCCAGAGGAGGATTCTTGATGTATGCCTTGAAAGTCTGCCTTGAAAGTGGCCTTCAGCTAAGCTGACATCCTCTTGTTAATAACCCTGCTTGAGAAAGAGCATGCAAGGCAGCAGTGAAAGACCCTGGCACAGACCGAGATCAGCAGTGAAGACGGGCTGCGTCTGTTTGGTGTTTAACAAGCCACAGCTTTAATGCTGTGAGGGTTTGAGCTTATGTGGGTTGTGGCGAGTACTGTGGCAATGTAATGCTTCTGGACAGAGAAGAGGAAATGATGAGGAACGTGAGAACGACCCAGCCAAACTAATCAGATGATCCACACAGGCGAAGTAAAATTCATTGCAGATTGGAAGGGCTGATTCAGGTCTTGCACACACAGAGTGAGGTGTGCATTTATTGTAGGACCTTAAGAAGGTGAATGGAGCAAATCTAGCTGCTGCTGTGCCAGTGTAGAGGTCATGTACTGTATCGAAGGACACCGAGGAAGCACCCTCGGAAAATCCCCTGGCTGTTCCAGAAGTATAATGGCAGGTCCTCACTGTAATGCTGTGTTTAGTGTTACTCATTGTTTATCGGAAAACAGAGATCATTTCACAAACAACAAAAATGTTAAATATATCAAAGGACAGTCAGTTCAGGCGTGAAGAAAACAATGTGGGATTATTGCATGTGAGGAGGAGGTGGGGAAAATTGGAAACAACAAAGTACTCTGCTCTCCTTTTGTGAGGTCTAATTGTCCTTTCCCTGTAATTCAAATAGAAAGAGGCCAGTTCAAATTACACTGTAAGAAATATAAAACAATGGCTTAGAAGAATTGCGTTATGTAATTAACCTCTGTGGCTCCCTGCTCCAGAACATTCTGCAACAGACAGCTTCAAACCAATCTTCAAAGTGTACCAGTCATATATTGGTGGGAAGGCTCAATCCTCTTATTACAGTATCTCCTTTTATCTTCATCTTTAATAACAGTTAACAGACCTCATGATAATAAATTCATGTCTGATTTGCTTTGGCATTATATGATCTGAAGACATGTAAAAGGAAAACCAAGCCAAAGTAATATATGCTAGGGCTTTTTAAAATTCTTTCACTTTTCGTAATCATAGATTAATTTGCATGGCTGTGCTTAGTGTGCACTGGAGCTGCTGTATCTGAAAAGCTGTCTAAAACACCTGAGGTTCTCTAAAAGTATCAAATTTAGATAGTTTATTCCGTGTAATCTCTGGAAGTGGTGTAAGCACTGGCATGCGCTAGTCCTAAGTGGAGAGAGAAGTAAACTTGTCAGAACAGTAACGTTCACACTCTGAGGTTCTTCACTCTGAAATCCAGTTGTTTATTTTAATCCATATTTAAGAAACTATAAAAAACCTTAAATGTACCTGGTATGGCTTGGATGTTAAAGGGGCAGTGCGTGGGCACAGGGCTGCAGGGGGTTAAGTGAGACGCAGCTCTGTAAGAAGGAAACATGATTCTGGTCATCTTTGTGATGGTACTTTGCATTTTGCAGGACTGTGACTCTTGCTGCCCTGCGAGTTACTGCCTGTTACTGGACTCTCTCAAAAGTGATGGCTCCCAGCTTCTGGCTCTGCTACGTACCATAAAGCTCATTTTTTTGACACTCATACTGCCAGTCATTGATCTCAGCTGTAAGGAAAAACACAAATGCAGTTTTAAGGAAAAGAAAATGAGGGGATTTCATAGTGCTTGTAAATACAGCTCATGGGAATTTATGTAACAGACTTGAAATGTCCTGTTCTCTCGCTAGCTGTGAAGCAGTGTCAACAGTCTGGAAGTTGTCAGCAGTTGCTGAAATATTATCCTGCAGTCTGATCAGCATGTGCCTGCTCTTTCCAGGTGGACTCTGAAGAGCCAGTTTTTGAGGCAGTTATAAACTGGGTGAAGCACTCAAAAAAAGAACGGGAAGCATCACTGCCAGAACTGCTGCAGTACGTGCGCATGCCGCTTCTCACCCCCCGCTACATCACAGACGTCATCGACACCGAGGTATCAGCAGCCTGGGTCCATGGACATAGAGCAGCTGGGAGCCAGTATCTGTGTGTGATTGTCATGTTCCCTGGTTAGACTTCTCCTGTCCTAACACAGCATGTTGAAAGCTGCTTTCTCTGCTGATGCTTTTTGATGCTGACACTATGGAGTTGTCTCTGTTCAGCTGGAGTGCCCACTGATTTACTCAGAAGTAGCTTGCTGTGCCAGCAGTTACAGCATCCTGCTTTTCAGCTGCAGGGGCACCGCATCCAGAACAATCATTCAGTTGCCATCTGATACATGTGACACCTTTCTGTTGTCATCTGTTAACAGTTTGCTAACAAGTGCTTTCCGCCTTCCATTCATAAGCGCTAGCAAGTCTCCTTCTCTAGGCTGAAGGCTGCTGGCATGTGATCGTAGGGAGGAAATAGCTCCTCAGAAGTTGTTTTAGGTACAGATGGCAAGCATGTACCTTTGAATGCGGACAGCAGCTGTATAGGTCCAGCGCCAGCACGGAAGTCAGAGCCAGATCCAGTGCTGCCTCTTTGTGTGGCTGGGGTGTTGCAGAGGCAAACCAAAATATGGGTGATGATAAGAGATAATTAAGCTTTTGCAAGGAAAGTTTAATTCCAAACAGGAAGTGATGCTGACCCCATACAAGGTTTGATAGGAAGGTACACAGAAGTTCAAACCAGCATTCTGGTGTGATGGTGATGTGAGGCAATCAGTGGTTACTAGCCCTTGTCACCTGACAGGTGCTGAATGTTGAATGACAGACTTCTCTACATAGAGACATAGCTGATTTAGCAACATTCATCTCTAATGTGATGTAGCTGCCTTTTACGGGTGTTCTTAAATAAGGGCAGCTAACAGGCAGTTAAATGATGCCAGAGCTAAAAATGTGTTTAGTCAGATTTTTATGGTCCACCTTAAACTGAAATTGAAGCTAACACAAAAGGAACTGACACCAAAACAATTAGATCTATTCTGAAACCAGCCTGAGATAGTGTGTATACAGGGCCTCAGCTTTCTTACTGCACAGAATGGCCTCTCCGGTCTGAAAGTGTCACACATTGGTGGGACATCTTCATCGTCTCAGGGCAGCATTGGGCCGCAGTGCGCCCCTTCTTCTTTTAAACACGACCTTACTTACTGCTTCTATAGTCTCTTCATGGCTCCATGTGCACAGGGATCAAGCTACTAGATCCAGCTAAACTGCTTTGTTGTGCTGTGCTCCTTGTTTCCTCTCTGATGACAGGTACATGCTGAGAGTTTTGTGGAGCAGATCAAGCCAAATGGATTTTAAGTGTAGTTTCACTTTCAGTCTCCCTTCTCAGACATACTTCTGCTGGCTTAAATGTAGCAGAAGTGGATTTTTCTTAGTTTTACAATATAGTTATTTTCATTATGGAACCTGTAATGCCAGAGTTTGCATGAGAACTGAGCCATATCTTTTTAGCTGCAGTCTGGTCTTAAGTGGTCTTTGCATTTCCTTGTGTGCAGTATTTGCACCATGATGCTACTGGCCACAGTCTGCACACAAGTCATTTTAATGCTGTCTGAACTGATAAGAATTGGCTTTAGGACAGTTCTCATGAGGGATCTTAAAATACATTGCATGTACCAGTGACTCATGTTTTTCCTCAGCCTTTTATACGATGCAGTCTGCAGTGCAGAGACCTTGTAGATGAAGCTAAGAAGTTTCATCTTCGGCCAGAGCTCCGGAGTCAGATGCAAGGACCCAGGACAAGAGCACGTCTAGGTGAGCAGCAAAGGAAAGGACGCTAAGGAGGTCTGGGGCATTGGCAGGTATTGTGTTATACACCATGTCTAGTGCCTTGTAATTGCACTGAAGTGCTTCACAGCTGTAGCTTGTCAATCCACAGTCCCCAGCGGTACTGAAAGGGGCCTGGAGCAAAAGACAGAGGCTTAGTGGCAATGCAGGGACTACTTGGTTGCCTGTAATCCTAGGCCTCTACTGTAACCATAAAACCAGTTTCCTGGGTTGTTGGTACCTCCAGATATGTTTGTCTCAGTATGCAGCTGTCCAAGAACTGTGGAAGAATTTCTTTCTGTCTAAAAAGGCAGGTATCAGTGTAAGGAACAAAAAGAGCTGCGAGGTCAGGGATAGCTGTGTTACAGTGAAGATACGTTTTCAACAGGGAATCTCAGAGGGGAAGGCACAAGGAGCGAGATGGAGAGGTACCTCTTTCCTCTCAGAGGTACTTTTTTTTTTCACTGCCCTTGTCTTAAGGCAAATAAATGATGATTTCTTCCTCTATTTTGGTAACTGCTACGAAGCAGAGTCACTGAATTGTTGGGAAAATGCTTGGCTTAGGGCTGCAAGCACTTGAGGGCAACATAAGCAGTAAGAATGACCTGCAGAAGAAGAAAAAGTATCTTACTGGCTTCTTCATGACTGTGGCCGTTCCTCACCTGATGTCCCTTCTCTTGTCTTCAGACTCGCTCTCTCTGGACTGTCTCTGCCATGCCTTTATCCCAAGCACACTCAAAAGGCACCACCATTGGTGCCAGCATTGACCGCTCTTCCTGCAAGCAAGCCTCCCTGCATGTTCTCCAGTGCTGCTGCTTGTGTAGTGGAGAGGGACCCTGAAAAACCCTTCATGGCCATTTCCTGTTACTAACACTGTTTTAAGGAACAGAAAGCAGGTTATCCACTAGAGGAGGGCAAATTAGGTTCGTCAGAGAGACACATTGATTAGATTTTTTGGCCTAAAGGGCTGTCTGGTTATGGTGTGGTTTGACCTGCAGCACAGTCCAGACCACAGCATGTCTCCTGTTTTTCTGGGAACGTCCTACATCGGTTTCAATGACATGCATTTCAGCTCAACCTGTCATTTTGGAAATGCATGTTTCACTTTGGTTTTAGTTGAAATGCTTCACCTGATAAAGGAGACATCACAAAACGTTTGTTGTTTAATTAAACAGACAAAAACTGTGCACCTTATTGCCAAGGTTCACCTTCTGGATTCAGCCCTACCTTTTTTAGTTGATTCAATACCATCTGCTATCAGCAATGCTCTTATCATGTGTCACTTATAAACTGTGATCAAGTTGTGTATTAACTTTCTATGGGATAAACTGAAACAATCGCACTTAGCTGTCATACTGTGCAGGAGGCTTTCTGAGTTGTTGTTGGAGCTCTTTTATAAATCTTTCCCAGTTATTTTTTATATTATTCTCCTTTATCTGAGGTGGCACCTGTTTTGCCTTGAGACAGACAGGGTCTTGTTAAATCTTTGTTGCTCAGTGTTTAGTCCTTCTATGATGAAACGCTGGACAGTTCTAAACTCTGGTAAAACTCCCTGTTGCAGAAAAGGCCCAAAGGATCCAGGGGATGCTCATCTATTTTTAAAACTATGGTAGAAACCTACCACTACGGAAATCATTACAAGGGAAATTAAAACTCTCCAGGTCAAAAGTCTTATTTAACTCTCGGAGAGAAAATCAGAAAAATTCAGGGACAATCTCAGAGGAAAGAAAGTAGAGGGAAAGCAACTTTGAAATAAAATACATGAGACTTAAGAGACAATTCTTCTGAACATATTTCATTAATTTTTCAGGCTTCAGTCAGCCTAACTTGTTTCTCAGTGAAATGATGAACAAAGATGCTATCTGATCTGGATGTCACTTGCGAACGAGGGGAGAAGGCCTTGTTTTGCGAGGAGACTGCATCCTCGTTCAGGTTTCATGGAGTGGTAGGAGGTTTGAAAAAAAAAATTGTGGAAAGAATACAAAAGATATTATCGAGCCAACTTCAGCACCTGACTTAGCCAGCTTGTCTTCTCAAAGTTCCTCTAACATTAGGAGGAAGAGCCCTCCAGGAGGCAGCTCCTAACACCTGAGTGAGTCTCACTGCCATGGACCTTGGAAGAGTTTCTTGCTCTTCCTCCCCGCTGTGGATAGAGGGAGCCCCGGTGACTGCTCCCCACTTTAGGTGCTTGCTTCAGAGTAGTGATAAAACCCGGGATTTAGAGGCAGCTTGTTGCACCAAGGAGGGCTCAGTGTTTCTTCAGGTGATTCCCCTGAGGTGACCCTTTGGTAGTAAAGGGATTGGATTGAATTGACTTGACTTTGCTTTCCCTCTTTGCTCTAGGAGCTAATGAAGTCCTACTTGTGATCGGCGGCTTTGGCAGCCAGCAGTCACCTATTGATGTTGTGGAGAAATACGACCCCAAAACTCAGGAGTGGAGTTTCTTGCCAGTAAGGGACCATTTTTGACCACCACTGGGTTGAACAGGCTGTGATCAAACACTGATCCTGTAGCATCAGCTATATAACATTCCTCTTTGGGCTATCATTTACGTTCTGCTTAGCATTTCTGACATAAATTCTTTAGAGTTGCTGAGGTTTACGTAGTGAATGCTGAAACCGCTTCACGTTTGCAGATTTGCTAAGCTTTGTATAAGAGGTGGTTGTCATATTTCTAATCAGATGAGCCTGCAGAGACCCATATCTTTGTTGTGGGAGTGAGAGCTATCATGTTTCTTACTGAAGGGGTGTTAAGCTTTAAGGTTAGTGACGGTAATTGAAATGTCAATAGGAATAGTATAATCAGTCCTGGTTTCAGGCAGTCTGCATGATCTCTCTGGTTTCATTGTTTCTGAGCATAATGGGAGATAGTAAGGGAGAATTTCTGCACTGAGGACTATTTCTACCCAAATTTAAAATCACCTTTATCTATGTGAAATGGTGGAGAATTGCCTCTTCTTTAATATTGCTAATCACAGACGACCCTATATCACCTGGTGTCCTAGAATTCTGTTCTTTTTAGACTAAAAGCTTCAGGTGTTTTCATCAAATATTCTGAGTCTCCACATTTTCCCATCAACAGTCTCTGCAGGGAGCCAGTGGGAGGCACACAAACCTCCAAGATGCATCAGAGATTCAGTAGCAGCAGGAGATAAATTACATTTAATGCAAAATATTTCAATGCAAAGAGACCTGGCATGAGAAGTGAGTGTGGCAGAGACAGAGTACAGGCAGAGCAAGGCAGACGCAGTCTTCAAGCATTTAGCAAAGGCTGTATCCTTTAAATCCATAGTGCTGTTTGACTCTGTGGCAATGGGCTATTTTCCAAAAAAGCAGCAAAAGAGGATGGAAGAACAGCGGTTGGTCTCCATGCATCAGTTATTTCCTCTGCTTCACCTTTCGTTTTTATTCTTTTCACTGTTTTAGAGCATCTCCCGTAAGAGGCGCTACGTTGCTACAGTGTCCCTGCATGATCGGATCTATGTGATTGGGGGGTATGATGGTCGCTCTCGTCTCAGCTCAGTAGAGTGCCTGGATTACACATCAGATGAGGATGGTATCTGGTACTCCGTGGCTCCGATGAACGTACGGCGAGGCCTGGCAGGAGCCACAACCCTTGGAGGTATGTGCTGGTCACTGTGCTGACATAGCAGTACAGCCTGTTCAGTTCTTGTGCTGAAGTGCCCTGAGCTGGTGCGTGCAGAGTGGGATGGCTCCGAGGGAGGAGGTGAGTCTGAAATTCTGGCTTCTCATCATTTGGATGTAGAAATGGAAAACTTGCCCACATATCCTGAGAGGAGCTCTGCCTCCGTTTCGTTCTTACGAGGGAAAGGAACTGTATGAGGGATTCTGGAGTGGGAAGCCCTCAGGGTGGTGACGGTATTACTGAGCACAGGACACTAAGTGCAGCAATAACCATCCAGCACTGGAGGGAAGCTGAAGCTGAAGCATGTGCAGAGAAGGATTCTTAGGACAGACTTGGAAGAAGAAAATGACTTTACTGAGCAAACCAGAACACTTCAGCTTGCTTATGATGGCAAAGCAAAGGCCAAGAGGGGATATGATTGTTCTCTATGAGTGTAACTTGGCATGAGAAGGAAATGGGAAATATAAGAATTGAATAAGAATAAACGGTTATAAATAGGCCAGGGAAAAGTTGGTGTGGAAATGAAAGGAAGTTTTCTAGCCATTAAAGTAGCAGTTACTCTACTGAATATTCTGTGCTTTAATGCTTATATTAGAATATCTTCTTAATAATTAATATTGGTTAAATATTATTCATTTAGATTGTTAATATATTCTAATGAAAATTCTCTTAAAAATGCAGCTGCTTTGAAGATTACAGATTTGCGAAAGCATTGCATGAATTAGGTTATCAAGTATAAGAGACTGATCTTGATGATCCAGCCATGTCCTTTGGATCTTCTTTCCTTTTGCTACCTGTGTGTTTACTACCTTGTAAGCATTTACTGTGGGGAGGTGCTGACATGATGCTAGTGACAGGCAGGGTTTGGGCATGGCAGTGTTTCAGTAGGTTCTGCAGCATGAAAAAAATGACTGGGGGGTGTGTGTTCTCTTTCATCCATCAGCAAGAAGCAGATTTAAGGGCTGGATGGGTTTCATGTTTGTTTAGTTTGTTGGATCTATGAGCAGGCTAATGCAGTGAGCTAGGGTGAGGAGGCTGGGTTATGTGCCAATATCTGTAGTTGTTCTTGTATTTTGCAGTCCATGTTGTAGGCCTGCTTCATCTGTGAGGGCCTTCTTGCTCCATGTGCATGCTTGATACTTGACTCGCTGAGTGCAACCTTTGTCTAACGTTGCAGACATGATCTATGTTTCTGGTGGGTTTGATGGAAGCCGACGTCACACCAGTATGGAACGATATGATCCGAACATTGATCAGTGGAGTATGCTGGGAGACATGCAGACAGCACGGGAAGGAGCAGGGCTTGTTGTAGCTAATGGAGTTATCTACTGCCTCGGTAGGTACCCTTGGGACCTCTAGGCATTCTGAAAATATTTGCTTTTTACAGAAATGACTGTGTAGATGCTGTCTGTGGGGAGCACCAATTAGGTCATGTCCAGGTTAGAAGATTTAACGTCGCTGAGCTGGGCACTGCACAGCTCCGTCAGTGAATGCAGCCGGCTCTCGCAGTTACCCTCGCAATGTCTTGGACTGGAGCTGCGACATAGCTACAGTAAATGCTGTCAGAAGCAAATTGGACACAATCAGCCTATGTTTGAGGGACGGCTGAAGCGTGGGGGATGAGCTGTGTCAGCTGAGGTTTGTCGGGAGGGCAGTGGCTGAAATGCCCTAGAGATGAAGCAGATAGTCACAGGACAGAGGGTGCATCCACTCCACACAAAGCAATGTTGGCTATAGCACTCCAGAAATTTATCCTGAGCTATACGTGTTCCAGCTCCTTTTTGTAGCACTCGTTTCATTTTTAGAGACCCATACCAGCTGTGAATACAATGAGAGTGCTGGAGAGCAAATCACTGTGAAGACTTCAGTAAGCTTGTCCTCTCGATACACCTTCTGGGGCCCAGAAAAGGCAGGCCCAGTGCTGTACCCACATTTGTTGCAGTCCTGTTCCTGGGGAGTCACAGATACTGGACGCTGGTTTATGGGCTTCACTTCCCCCTCCCAAATTCCTTTTCCTCATGCTGTCCACCAAGGCAGATGCCAGCACGCTGCTCCTTTGCTGAAGCAGCATTATGAAATTTCTTGGTATCCTTTTGTGAAACAGCTCTTTGAGACATCCCAGCCTAACCTGTGTAGCCTCATAGCATCAGCTGGTGGCTGTGGGCTGTAGCACACAGACCCTGAGACAGTGCCAAGTCTGGAAGTTGTACATCTGCTTTAGCAGGATGGCATCGACATAGGCATCAGCATGCTCAGAGGCAGCTTTCAGCAGTGTGGTGCTAACCTGGTTGTACTGGTTTGGAGCAGTGATGCTCTCTCCGAACACGGCCCTGTGCAGTGCAGGGGCAGAGCTTGCTCTGAGCCAGCTCCACTCTGGCACTGCAAGCTGCAGAGACCCTCTTTGTTCTGGCGTGTTGCGAGTTGTGCTGATTGCAGTGCAACACTGTACTAAGGATGAACCAAGCATGTTATTGCTCTCTACATAGAAAACATTTTTCAGAAGTCAGACCCATGATTTGCTCCTGTGTTGTGTTTCAGGTGGTTATGATGGGCTTAACATACTGAATTCTGTAGAAAGGTATGATCCCCACACTGGACACTGGACAAATGTCACCCCGATGGCCACTAAGCGCTCAGGTAAGAGCCCACAGTGCCTGGAGGTCAAAATGTTCTGGGCTGCCCTGAAGAAGTAGTCACTGCTCGCTTGTCCTGCTGCCCTGGAGGAAATTGACTCACCCCAGCGGGTGGTTTGGCTTTGAGAAGGGACGATTTTAGGACATGCTTACTTAACTCCCCAAGAGGAAGATTAATTTTCACATGCCTCATGTCTCCATCCCATGCTAAGATGTGGATAGAGGAATGTGGGACGGGGCTTACAGGTTACAGAGAGGGAGAGGAAGTCTTGTGTGACTTCCTTAACTAGGAACAGTGCACAGCTTGGAGAAAAGCTATCAAGGAACAAACTACAGACCATAGTGCAACATAATGGGACAGTTTGCTAAGTCAGTGCTCGTCAGTTGCGCAGGACATGGCGAAGGCAGGAGTGCTCTGGCAAGCTCTCCTTCACCTGCATTCTGCTTTGTGAAGTGCTGGGCATCAGCTCCTGGGGCAACAGTAGCACAGAGAGCAGTGCTGCCAGAGCAGTGTCACACTGCAACAGTCTTAGCTGATGACTTGAAACATGGGGCAGTCACACATTGATTATCCTCCACCAACTCCTAGTTTGTCTTTCCTGCTTGGTGTTCTATCTGAGGTTTAAGTTTGACAAGCTGTATCTAGGAGAAAAATAAGTTTAAATCCTACTTTTGGAGTAACTTTCTGTTTTGGCTGTCCTCCATTTTTCAAAGGAGTTCCTGTGGGGCTTGTGCAGCTCCTGTGTGCTCAAGCGTTGGCCCTCTGCTATTGCACTATGCCTTAGGCTTCCTGCCCCACATCTTCATGGCGCTGGTGAGAAGCTGTGGCCTCGCTCAGCCATATGTGGATGGGCAGGATGCTTAGTGCCTCCACAGCTTTGTTGTTCTCGATGGAGTAGTTCTGCTGTGCTTACAGGCCCTCTTTCAAAACCCTTTTGAAGTTGCTTTTTCTCTAGATCTTCAATAAATGTCCTTTACAATTAGCCTAGGCAGCATTGTTTGTTTGTTCTCTGCTGCAATGTTCTTGCTTAGGGATAAGTGCTGGTTACTCAATTAAAATTGGTCTCTGTTCTAAAACATTTAAACTTTTCTTGTGCCTGCAGTGGCATTCACCAAAACCCCAAGCTTTAAATATTTACTTCTGTGACAGGGCTGTTCCTCTTAAGTGTGGATTGGAAAGTATTTCCCATATGCCAAGAATGGATTTGATTTAGAAGTTGGTCACTTTCCACATCCAGGAAGACCCTACATACAAACACATGATAAAATCTGTGGGCATATGTCAGAGGCAACATGCGAGACCTTCTGTACTTGAAGACCAGGTTCGAGAACATCTGAGGAACTTGAAGGTGCACAAGTCCATGGGACCTGATGAGATCCATCCGCGGGTCCTGAAGGAACTGGCGGATGAAGTTGCCAA